AGAAGCGGTGACACTATAGTGATAGAAAGATGACCAGGGAGGGGAGCGTAGTTTGGAACAGGGGTCTGACTATAGAAGGTCAGGAGGGAAGTTTTTAGAGTAATAGAAATGTTCTATCTCTTGACTGTGGAGGTTACATGACTGTATATATTTGCAAAAAAATTATTGGATTGTACACTTAAAATTGGTAAATTTTATTGCATGTAAATTATACCTCAGTAAAGCTGTTCTTTTCAAAAGTCTATTTTGGTATTAACATAGGCAAACCAGTTTTATTATGTTAGTGTTTTCCTGATATATCTTTTTCTATCCTTTCACATCCTGCCTGTCTGTGTTTAATACTTAAACTGTGTTTCTTGAAAAAGAATATTGTTGGGTCTTATTTTTTCATTCAGTCTGATCATCTGTGTCTTTTGTGTGTGTGTGTTGAAAATACACATAGCACAACATACGCCATTTCAACAATTTCTACATGTACAATTCAGTGACGTTGATCATGTTCTTTAAGTTGTGCAACCATTCTTGCTATCTTCTGTCAAATTATTCTGTCACCGTTAATATAAACTCAGCCCCCCCCAGGCAAAACCTCACCCCTCCCCTCTCATCAACGCCTGGTAACCACTAATAATCTTTGGTTTATATATATTTGCTTATTTCATGTAAGTGAGATCATGTATATTTGCTTATTTCATATAAGTGTGATTATATACTTTTTGTCCTTTGTAACTGACTTTTTTTCACTCAGAATGATGTTTTCAAGGTTCATCCATGTTGTGGCATGCATCAGGTCTTCATTTGTCTTTGTGACTAAGTAATATCCCACTGTATGTATATACCACATTTTGTTTTTCTATCCATCTGTTGATGGACATTTTGGTTGCTTCCACCTTTTGACTGTTGTGAACAGTGCTGCGTTGAATGTTGGTGTACAAGTTTCTGTTTGTGTTCCTGCCTTCACTTCTTTGGTATATATCTAGGATTGGGATTGCTGATGTGTCTTTTTTTTTTTTCTGTGCCCTTCTCCATGTGCCTCACAGTCCTTCTCTCTCAGAGAGAGAGGATCCAGTTGGTTCTATTAGTTATCAGCCAGTAGAGGGTGTGCATGTGGGGCAGATTCTCAGTGAAGCCGGGCTGCCTCATGAGCCACTGACTGGTCCAGTATCAGCCACCTTTGGCTGTGTGCCAAGTCCTAGCCTACTCACTTGTGGCCAGAGTGGTGGGCTATGTGGCATCCAGTACAATGGCCTATATAGAAGCAATCCACTATGTGGGACCACTTTTCTCAGAAGGGGCCAGTGTAACTGCCAGGCTCTTTGACTCTATGGCCTGTCTAGAACTCCTGCATTTCTGCAGAAGGTCATGCAGGAGGGCTAAGCGGGCACATTGTCCCCACTGAGAGGTGGAAATTCCAAAGTTTCTGAGCTTTTGACTCTGAGGTGAAATGACCTCCACTTATATGTAAGTAAAGGAGAGTGAACTTTTGGTCATATATTGGTTACCGTTTGTGTGGAAAACTGATAGTGAGTAAACAGGGAGACCTTGTCACTCACCTGAAATTCTCTTCCTTTGCATCTGGCACATGTCTACCAGTGGGATCTTTCTCTGTCTTTCTTACTTCCTTTTAAAACATTTTTATCTTTAAGTTTTCATACAGTAAAATTCACACTTTTTGGTGTACAGTTTTATAAGTTTGGACAAATGTACAGAACTGTATTACCACCATAGCAATCAAAATACGAAACGGTTTAATCACTCCAAAAAATTCCCTCCTACTACCCCTTTATAGTCAACCTCTTTCACCCTTAGCCCTAGGAAACCATTGATTTGTTCTCCATTCTTAAAATTTTGTCTTTTCCACAATGACACATAAATGGAATAAAAACTGCATGTAACCTTTTGAGACTAGCTTCTTTTACTCAGTGTAACACCCTTGAGATCCATCTAAGTTGTGTGTATCAGTGGTTGACTCTTTATTTTCATTGTATGGATGTGTCATTTTGCTTATTTATTTCCCAGTGGAGGAACATTTGGGTTGTTTTCAGTTTTTGGCAATTATGACTAAAGCTGCTATAAACATTCATGTACAGATTTTTGTATGGAAATACCTAGGAGTGTGATTTCAGAGTTATATGGTAAATTTATGTTTAACTTTAAAAGAAAATGCCAAACTGTTATCCAAAGTGACTGTATCATTTTGCATTCCCATCAGCAGTGTATGAGGGTTCCTTTTGTGAAACTCTCTTCAGTCACCCCTTTGAGTTTTCTGGAATCTGCCTGATCCATGGATGCGTGTCTAGGAACCATGGAGCAGAGACGGGAGTGGCACTTCTCGTTATTATACTTGGAGAATTTTTGCTTGCTCATCCCACAACCTTGGGTTCATTGGATTTCCAAACCAAGCTTGTTTTTACAGACGTAAGATCTCAAAACATTTACCTCCTGTGCGGAGAGGGTTTCAATAGTTGCACCCAAAGGATATAACTGAAGAGAGTCTAGTGAAGGAAATATTTAAAGAGGTGTGGGCAGAGTTAAGGTAACTAACAGGGGTGGCGAGCACCCAGGGATTATCAACAGCAAGAAAGCTCTTACCCCTCTGCCCTAGGCCTAAAGGGGTGAGGGGAAGGAATAGTGTTACCAGAACTCAGACAGAACTTGAAGCCATGGTAAAGGGGCCACCCAACAGAGGCTATAACTGTAGAATACAGCCAGATCCACAGTTAATCCAAGGCGAGGAATGAGTAGGGAAGGAAGAATAAATACCCTGACCTCTCTCTTCTCCCACCCTCTGAATTCTTTTGGGACTTCCTGTTGGTCAAATACAACCAGAAGTCAGAAGGCAAGTAAACCTGGAGATAGAGTCCATAGAAGTCAGCTTTTATGGACACAGAGCAGAGCAGAGAAGGGAGAAAAATGGGTTAGTATGGGACAGGACAGGTAGTAGCAAATGGAAAATAACCAGCATAGCCCATCCCTTTGGCTTCTCGGTGTCCATTTTTGTCTTTTGCTTAAATGGAGAAATCTGTTTCCTCACACAAAGTCTCAGTGTATCATCATGGAGTGATGTCAGTTCAATTTTACCTAAAATCTAAATTGTGACATTAGCTACCTTCAGTACTCTTCATATAAGGATGCAGGAAAAAGAAACAATTAAATGTAACAGTTCCAGTCCTGACCTCTGTAGATGGTCATGGGGCTGAAGGTGATAAATTATAGCTTCCTTATTCCACCACCCATTCCATGTTCCCCTTATCCTTGGCAGCACCTCAGATGGACAGAGTGTTTTGCTTGATAGGGGTGACCCAAATCTTCTTTCCACAGAACCAAGTTCCTAGTGGTCCTGCCTTTATTAGGTTGCCATGGTTTCCCACTAACCATTATTGTTGGAAGTGGGAATATTTAAGTCTCCTTACTGAATTCCAGACAAAGTTCTCCTTGCTGCCTGTATAACAGTACCACAGTTTCCCCTGATAACTGAGATCACTCATTCCAGCCAGTCTAGTAAGTCATTCTTTGCCTATTGATTCAATAGCACAAGGAGCCCCAAATGGGCAAGGGATGGCCTCAACTCCCAACAGAAGTATGTCTAGATTTTTTTGGTGGAGGCCGTTTCCTTGGGTACTGAAAGGTTCTAGTAGTGCCTGAAGCCCTCTAACATCAGGAGGAGGAGAGAGAATCACTATCAGTACAAAGCTGTTTCCTATGAGGTGGAGGTCATGATTTTTAATGTTTGGAGTAAGCACCAGAATTTCTTTAGGACACCAAACTGAGCTGCAAACTGCTCAGTCACTGAGAGTTGACTGTTTTCCAGTAGTTGATTTTCTTTAATTTGTAGAGAGTGAAATTGATGACATGGCATCCTGTGTATTTTTCGCCAGCTTTTTCATTTGAAAAAGTTCAAATCTGTAGAAAAGTTCAAGTGCAGCACAGTGAACATCGATCTGTTCTTCACCTAGATTCATCAGTTGTTAACATTTTGCTTTATCCCTCTCTTATATGTGTGTGTGTGTAAGAGAGACAAGACAATGTATATATTATACGTATATAATATAGAGAGAGAAAACAATTTACCTGTCATATATATGTATATATTTTATATATAAATGTAGTAATTGTTTTTTGCTAAACTGCTTAAAGTAAGTTGTAGACATAATGACACTTCACCTCAGAGTGCATATTTTAAAATCATTTCTAAAAACCTTGGCAAAACATAAATTTGTAACACCAACAAAACAAAATAACCCAACCTTTAATTTATGGAACCCTGTTTAGTCAGAGTACATAGAGCCATCTCACATAGCCAACAAATACTTAGTGTCATTTCTAATGACCTGTAATTTGGTTAAAGTGTTCTAATTTTGTAAAAACAAAGGGTAAGTAGAGAAGTTGACTAGATGGCTGAAACCCAAGCTATCCATCATTTTACTGAAAAGATACCTGGTGAAAAGTGACCAATGATATCACTTTCCATGATATAAATCTATTGTTATAATTTGAAAATATTATAATTTATATTTTAATTGTGGGAAATTTTTTTTACTTGCCTAAAATATGATGGTCTAGATTTGTGCCAGATATCCATTAAGTGACCAATGTTGAGAATCTAAGGAACCAATATCATCAAATTTATATCTTGAAGGAAAAAAAAAAGTTTAAATAAAATAAGAACTTTTCTTGAAAACTTCTCTTTTCCTGTTCCTGGTGGAGTTTGTAGTTATAGAAAGTTTCTGTATATGTTGTATTTCAATAACTAATTTTAAAGAATAAAAACATTATTTACTATATACTATAAAATGAATTTACTTAATGTGAAAATTACTCCGAGCATACATTAATCTTTCTTTCATGATACAGAAACCACCACATCTAAACATAAAGCTACATTAATCACAAATTAGTGTAAGACATGGTCCTGAGGTAAAAAATATTTGCCCATAGTGTTTTTTGCATGCAATTGTGATCTGTCATAGAAGATTTTAACTTTAAGCACATTTACCTTAAAGGAGGAATATCACAAACGTAACTTCACAGAAGTGGTCTCTCCCAATGTGTACAACAGTAAGCTCTGGGAAGCCTCGGGCCACTGGCAACATTACAGCGAGAACATGTTTACCTTTGATATTGAAAAGGACACTTTTGCTCTTAAACCCATGAATTGTCCAGGGCACTGGTGAGTATTAAAAGTGAAGCAAAATTTTGCATAAGAATGCATAGTATACTTTATTACAATTTGCTTTTAGTGTATTATTACTTTGCTTTTTGGAGTTAAGTGATTCCTTTAATCTTGAGACAGGTGGTTACTAATCATCTTCACCAAGTTATTTCATTCTGGAGAATGAATTTACTTTTTAAAACAGGTTTGATCTTTGCAGGTATGGAATGTTAGCTGGAAACCATTTAGTTTTTTGTGCTTCTTAGAGGAAAATTTTATGTATCAATTTTACAAATTATTACAGTATTTTTCTTAATAGTAATATGCTTCAAATAGATATGTTTACAGAACATTTAGTTCTTATTTACTGCTTGAGTTAATTATAAGAAAATCAGTGAGGTCATAATCAATGGGTTACCCAGTTTCATTGATTCTAAGAGAGAACTCTTTTCGTCAAATTTCAACATATCTGAAATTGGGACACATAATCGGTAGCATCTTAGCATTATGTCAATTTAATTAATGGATTATTTTCTTTCTTAGTGGTACGTAAAGTAGTGGTACAATTATAACTGATGTTGTCTTAGAGTCTATGAAAGATGGTAATTATCATAAAGTTAGTATGCAAATTCAGCCTTGTAAAGCAAGCAGATTTGAAAACTGGAAGTGAGCAGAGCTAGTTCTCCATTAAAAAATCCCAGTAATTGTGGTTTTATATTATAAACATACGTAGTTTCAGGTAAACTGACTAACAAGGTAACTATTAAAACAAACCTCTGAACTTTATTTTCTCACAGTTCAGGAGGCTACAAGTTTAAATTCAGGGCACCAGCTGGGGAAGACTCTCTTTCTCTCTCTGTTGACACGGGGGCAAGATCCTTGTCTCTTTCAGCTTCTGTTTCTCAGTTCCTTGGTGATCTTCACGTGGCATCTGTCTTCCCCTGCTTGTGCTCACTTGTCTCTGTGTTCATGCTGCTCTTTGTAACTTAGAAGGTCCCTGGGTTGTGCACATGGTTCACGCACAACTACTAACCTAAAGGTTGGTGGTTTGAACCCACTCAGTGGCTCCACGGAGGAAAGACCTGGCGATCTGCTTTCACAAAGATCACAGCCAAGAAAACCTCATGGAGAACAGTCCACTCGGCAACACATGAGGTCTCCATGAGTCAGAACCTACTCGATGGCAACACGTTTGGTTTTTTATAATTCAGAAGTGATTAGGTTTAGGATACACCCTAGACTGATATGGCCTAATTAACATAAAGAAAACCTTACTCCAAGCAGAATTACATTACAGGTATTAAAAAAAAAAAAAAGTTGCCTTCAAGTTGATAGTTTAATCTTACAAAAGCAGACTGCCATATCTTTCTTCCTCAGAGCATCTGATGGGTTTGAATGGCCACCCTTTTAGTTAGCATCAAGGTTGTAAATCTTTATGGAAGCAGACTGCCACATCTTTCTTCTGTGGAGAGGCTGGGGGTTTAGAACTGCTGGCGTTTTGGTTAGCAGCCAAGCACTTAACCACTGTGCCACCAGCGCCCCTATTATGTAGACAATCAGTTGTAAAAGAGTAAGAGGAGTGCTGAATAGTGGTGTGTTTGCGGTGTTCATGGAGCATGAGGAGAGACTGACTAGCCCTGTCTGCAGAAGTGTCCAGGAGACTTCACCTAAGAACTAGCCTTTGAAATGAATTATAAATGTTAAGTGGAAATTCACTGGTTGGATGACATGGTTCTTTCTTAGAGTGCCGCAGTACTGTAAATTCAAGGATCAGTAAGTCAGAGAGGAGATTATTTTTATCTGGTGGCCTAAGAACCAGGATAAGGAGTTTACAAATCTTGAGGTCAAATTGTAATTTCTCAATATTTAAATAGTTACTTAACCTTTGCTATATAAAAGCTATGTGTTATTGTATCTTTTTTAGTCTAATGTTTGCCCATCGTCCGCGATCTTGGAGGGAAATGCCTATCAGATTAGCTGATTTTGGAGTTCTTCATAGAAATGAACTCTCAGGGACTGTAAGTGGCTTGACCCGAGTCAGGCGCTTCCAACAGGATGATGCTCACATCTTCTGCACAGTGGAGCAGGTAAACAATAATACAGAGTGAAGCATGATCCTTGCAAATTCAGTGTGTTGCCCTGAAAATGTTAGTCTTTCAATATTGATGTAAAATAAGATGTTTGATCTAGTCTCTGAGGTCTCATTCAGCTCTAACTTTCTGTGATTCTCTAATTTGTATTGATAATCTCTTGATGTGAAATTTATTGTTTTTTTATTCAGCTTCTCCAATTATTTTATTGATTTAAATTTTATTAAGTGTATTTTTTAAAGATCTTTGGTAGGATTTTGGAGGCTTTTATTTTTCAGTATTGCCTAGAACTTTTATTTGTTCAGATTCCATGCTAATTCAAATTAAAATTGACATGCAAAGGGCCACTATCAAGCACTATCAAACAGTTTGACCTAAGTGACACATAGAAGAACACTGCAACCAATAATAGCAGAATACACATTCTCTGAAAGCACCCACATAACATTTACCAAGATAGACCATACTCTGGGCCATAAAACAACTCTCAATAAATTTTAAGGGATTCAGTTCCTGTAAAATATGTTCTCTGATTGCAATGGAATTAAAGTAGAAACCAATAACAGAAAGCTATCTGTAAAACTCCCAAGTATTTGGAAAGTAAATAACACACTTCTAAATAACCCATGGGTAAAAGAAGATATTAAAAGGGACATTAAAAAGTATTATAAACTGAATGAAAAGGAGAACACAACACATCAAAATTTGTGGGATGCCACTAAACTGGTACCTAAGTGGACATTTATAGCCCTAAAAGCCAACATTATCAAAGAAGAAAGGTTTAAAATCAGTGACCTTGGCTTCTACTTAAGAAACTAGAATAAGAAGGGAAAATCACACCAAAGTAAGCAAAAGAAAGAAAATAATAAAGATCAGAGCAGAAATCAATGAAATAGAAAAAAGAAAAGCAATAAAGAGTATCAGTGAAAACCAAAAGGTGGTTCTCTGAGAAGATTGATAGAATTATAAAACTTCTAGTCAGACAGACCAGGGAAAAAAGAGAAGACACAAAAATATTAGGAGTAAGAAAGGTGACATCACTACAGTTTCTACAGATATTAAGAAAATAATAAATTAATATTATGAACAACTTTATGCCAATAAGTTTGACAACTTAGATGAAATGGACACATTCCTTGAAAGACAAACCACAAAACTCAAACAGAAAGAAATAATCTAAGTAGCCCTATGTCTAAACAAATTGAATTGGTAGTTAAAAACCTTCCCACAAAGAAAATTCCAGGCCCAGATAGATTTAAATGGCAAATTCTACTGAACTTTTTGTTGCTGTTGTTTTAATTGTGGTTTAGATGAAAGTTTACAGCCCAAGTTAGTTTCTCATACAAAAATTTATATACACGTTGTTATGTGACTCTAGTTGCTATCCCTATAATGTGACAGCATACTCCCTCTTTCCACCTTGGATTTCCTGTGTTCATTCATCCAGCTCCTCTCCGTTTCTGCCTTCTCATCTTGCCTCCAGACAGGAACTGCCCAGTTAGTCTCGTGTATCTACTTGATCTATGAAGCACACTCTTCACAAGTATCATTTTATATCTTATAGTCCAGTCTGATCTTTACCTGAAGAGTTGGCTTCAGGAATGGTTTCAGTTCTGGTATACTGGACTTTTAAGGTATAAATACTAATTCTAGACACTCTTCCAGAAAATTGAAGAGGAGGAGATCTTTACCAACACATTTATGAGGCTAGCATTGCCCAGATAACAAAGCAAGATAAAGACTTTATAAGAAAACTACAGGTTAATATCCTTCTTGAAATTTTTTGCAAATCAAATCCAATAATATATTTAAAAACAAACAAACAAACATAATACATCTTGGCCAAGTGGGCTCTACCCCAGGAATGACAGGTTGACTTAACATGAGAAAATCAATGTAATTCACTATATTAACAAACTAAAAAAGAAACATATGATTATCTCAGTAGATGAAGAAAAACCATTTGGCAAAATCCAACATCCATTTCTCATAAAAACTCTCAGAAACTAGGAATGGAAAGGAACTTCCTCAACCTGATAAAAGGCATCTATGAAAAACCTACACCTAACATCATGCTTAATAGTAAAAGTCTACATGCTTATCTCTAAGATCAGGAACAAGGTAGGGATGTCCACTCTCACCACTTCTATTAATCATTGTTCTAGAGGTTCCTTCTGATGTAATAAAGGCAAGAAAAAAAATAAAAAACTTTGACATTGGAAAGAAAGAATTAAAACTCTATTTGCAGATGACATTATCATCTATGTAGAAAACTAGATAGAATAAAAAAAAATGCTTCTAGAACTAATAAGTGAGTTTAGAAAGTTTGCAGGAGAGAATATCAATATATAAAAATCAGTTGGATTTGTACATACTGACAATGAACCAGTGGAAATTAAAAATAAAAATAGCCATTTATAATAGCATCAAAAAGTATGAAAAACTTAAGGATAAATATCAAAAATATCTTCATGACCTGGAAACTGACAACTACAAAACATGATTGAGATAAATTAAAGAAGGCCTAAATAAATGGAGAGATATACCTTGTTCATGGGTTGGAAGACTCAATGTTGTTAAACTGTCAGTTCCCTACAAATTGATCTATAGAGTCAGTGTAATCCCAATCAATATATTAATATCCAAGCAGTTTTTTTTTTGTAGAAATTGACCAACTAATTCTGCAATTCATATGGAAATCCAAAGACACTTTGCAAAAGATCAAAGCTGTAAGGCTAACTATGTTTGAATTCAATGATTATTTATAAAGCTACAGTAATCCTGACAGTGTAGCACTGGAATCAAGATAGGTAAATAGATCAGTGGAACAGAATAGAGAAATAGATCCACACATATATGGACAACTGATTTTTTATGAAGTGTCAAAGGCAGTAAAGCGGAGAAAAGATAGTCCTTTTAACAAAAGGATGCCGGAGCAATTGGCTATCTGTACGCAAAAAATAAAAATAAAAAATGAACTTCAATTCATACCTCATAGCATATACAAAAATTAACTCAAAGTGAATCATAGGCCTAAATGTAAAACCTAAAAATATAAAACTTCTAAAAGAGAAATTGGAGAAAAGTTTTGTGATCTTGGGTTAGATGATGATTTTTCAGATATAATACCAAAGCACAATCAATAAGAGGAAAAAAAATAAAGTGGATTTCCTCAAAATGTAAAACGTCTGCCCTTCCAAAGGTCCTGTGAAAAGAATGAAAAGACGAGCCACAGTCTGGGAGAAAATATTTGCAAAGCGTCTGTCTGATGAAGGACTTACATCTAGAATGTTTAAAGAAATTTTAAAATTCAATAATAAAAATATAGACAACTCAGTTAAACAATGGGCAAAACAGACTTCTGCTCTTGGGAAGATGAAGTACATGTATTTTCCCTATTCCTAAGTACAACTAAAAACCTTGGACCCTGTATGTAAAGCAAACATAAGAAGACTCTGAAAGGTGTAGACAAGGCGACACAATGGCCAGGGACATCAGTACTCAAGAAACAATATGATGGTGAGGTCCTTGAGCTTTCTTTTCGCCTCATATATCCCAGAATTGGAGCCAAAGAAGCCAGCAACCAAGAAATGCCAATGGGTGCAGACAAAAAAAAGCGAACGAAAACCTGCTGGCTCTAGCCAGCAGACCAGGAGAGGGGCAGCCTAGCAAGACAGAAGCCAGATTTTAAAAGACCATATACTATGTGATTCCATTTATGAAATTAAAAAAAAAAAATTCAAACTAATCCCTAGTGACAGAACTCAAATCTTCAGTTGTCTGGTCCTTCTTCTCAGTGGCTCTGCCTTTGCTGCCTACCTCACATTTGCATTTAAATGTGCTCTCTGTCCCGCTCTCAAGGATGCCCTTTCTCGCTCTCAGTGCCCCCAGCTCTGCTCTTCTCACTGTGTACTCTCTCTGGAGCCCTGGTGTCACAGTGGTTAAGGTCAGCAGTTCAAATCCACCGGCTGCTCCTTGGAAACCCTATGGGGCAGTTCTGTTCTGTCCTATAGGTCGATATTACATTCCAGACCCACCACCTAATCTTGTCTGCATCTCAACTCTCCCACCTGAGCTCCAGACCTGTATCTACAGGGCTTGGTAGGCATATCTTCTTGGCCATCACAAGCACCCTCACATTTGGCATGTCCAGAATGGACCTCCTCCTCTGCCTCGCATCCCACTTCCCCTCCCTTCCAGGTTCGCTCTTTGAAGGAATGGCACCAACATCCACTTCCACTGCCCAGATCAGGAACCCAAGTGTCCTTTGTCCAGTTTATCACAAGCCCTATTGATTATTCTCCCTAAATATATTACTAATTCCTGAATATTTTCATTCCTTCCTGAATTCCAAGCATCTAGCACAGTGCTTAGCACATGGACAGTTTATCTGTTAATGAATGAAAGCATAAATATCTCACAAATCTATCAGATTCCCTGCATTCCGGCTTCTTTTTGGCTAAAGTCAGCATCATCTTCCACTGGCTTCATAATGGGCCTCTGCTGTAGTGTTTCCCTTTGCCAGTGTATTTCCCATACTGTGAAAGAACAAATTGGGTCATGTTAGATCCCTGATAAAAAACTCTTCACTGGCTCCCTGGTGTTCTCAGACTAAAAATGTACAGACATGACCCTGACTTTCAAGGCACTTACCTAGCCCCCGCCCGCCTCTAGCCTGTTCACCTATCACCTTCCCTTCTCTCCTCTCTCGTAAGCAGCTCTATCACATGGCAGCTCCATGTAGCTCCCATGCCCTAGCATGCTCCTCTGTCCTCTAGGCCTTAACCCTCAGTATTTCCTCCGCTGGCATGGCTGCTTCCCGACTTCTCCATGGAGAACACTTTTTATGTTTCTGGCTGCAGCTGGGCTATCACTTCCTCTAGGCAGCCCCTCCCCACCCTTCTTCTCCTGTGTGACACTCTTCACAGTGTATAACACTGGCCTGCTTCTTTGCCCAGCCTCTCCACTTGCCTGGGAGCCTCTGGCAGCTGCCTCATGCCTGGCACATGGTAGGCGTTTCATGAATATTTGAGCAAGGAATGGATGAGTGACCAAAATAAAATGTTATCAACTGTACTGTACTAAAAACATACTTTATTTTTATCTGATAGGAGGAATTTTTTTAATTTTTAAAAATACCATAAATGGATTTGATTCAATGTCCTATTTGCAATATTTTATTTACTCTAATTTCAGATTGAAGAAGAAATAAAAGGGTCTTTGCAGTTTTTGCAATCTGTTTACTCAACATTTGGCTTCACCTTTCAATTAAATCTATCCACAAGGCCAGAAAACTTCCTAGGACAGATTGAGATGTGGGATCAAGCTGAAAAGGTAAGAGCAAACAAAGCACTTACCCTTTTATTTTTGTGACTGTGGAAAACTCCTGAGTGACTGCGGTTATCTTACACAGGGATGTAATACTTAGTAGTAGAGTAGTAGAAAGCTTTTAAATGGGAAATTATGGGATAAATATGCAGGTTGTAGGATGTGGTTATCTAGTTTTCTTCATAACAGTGATAATAGTACTTTACATTTGTTTCACACTTAAAATTTATCAGGTTTTCATTTACACTCTTCCAGTGCTGGTCACTAATAACCAATTTCACAATTAAAAAAAAAATTCTCTGATTTGAAGTAATCCTTGGTTTGTGAGTTTTGTTTTAAACTATTGCCTGTTGAGTTGTCATAATATGAGTCATAGAGTCTGGGGGTTGCATATTCTAGATCTGGACACACACGTCTGATGATCAAATGCCATCCACAGTAATGGCCTGTAGTGCCTTACCAGCTGTCTGAAAACTCCCAGAGACTCAGATGTCATGCGGTAACTTTGAAAATCCAAGATTGATGAGCTCATCATATTTTTAGTTTTTTCCTTCTCATTAAACATGAAAGGATACAGTGTGTCTGCTGTTGAGTTTTTATTAGAAATGAGTACGGTAGTATGGCCAGATACCCCAGCACTGCCTGAGCCCTGCCCTGCCTGTCAGTCTTCCTCATGGGATACTCACGAAAGCTGTACATACAAATAGTAAGGAGTAAGAGTCAGATAACACTTTATTAATAGTGTAAGCATTTTTATGTTATTGGTAGGTACAGAGGTATAAAAATGGCATGGGGGCAGCTTCTGACCTCCTCTAACTTCACAAGGAGGAAGAAGGATCAAAAGCAACAGCCCAGGGCTGATTCCTATGAGGTGGACATGCCTCCTCTCTCCACCGTCTTTACCAATTCTCACACCAACTGCCCCTCCCATGGCACTCTCCACTTCTCTGCTGAGTTCAGTAATTCATTGCAGTGGCCACACAGAACTTACAGACAATACTCACGATTATGGGGTTTGTTAGGGAAGTAACAGGTTACAATTCAGGTTCAGGAACACTCAGGATCAAGTTCTTCAGTCAAGACAGCCTCTTAGCTGTACCTGCAGGCAGTTCTCTCCCTGGCCCTTGGCTCCTCGACCTCTGCCCTGCTGGGGCAAGTATTACAAAGCTCTTTTAGCTCTGCCAATAAGGGCCTGGAGGCACCCTACTCCACCAGTAAGCCTCGGCCCAAAGGCGCTAGCTCTAGCTGTGTGGGTTAGCAAACCTAGTTCCACCAAGTGCCTGGAGACACCCTACTCCACTAGCAAGCCTCCTGCCCAAAGGCACTCAGCTCTCTCCCTCACTCTGTGGGCTGGGCCTTCTCCTGCCAGTCTCCTGGTTCTGCTGCTGCTGTTTCTCTGCCACTGCTTCTTGCTGTCTTCAGTGTTACAGCTCTCTCTCTCTCTCGGACTTCTGGTTCCAGGAGCTTCGCAGCTCAGGGATCCTGGGTCCAAAAGACGCACTCCACTTCTGGCCCTTCTTCCTTTGTGGTGGTGAGATCCTCTCCTCTCGTCTCTGGGATGGCTCATTTTAAGCCTAGTGTGATGGCAAAACTGACCAGTCCCCTTGGTGGGCCACAATTGCTTTATTTGCACAGTCCCACCCAGTTACTTGGCTGGGAGTTACAAGACCATGGCAAGAAAGGCCACACAAAAGCGACTCATCACACCACAAGAGGCCAGGCAGAGACTGGGTAGAAGCAATTTAGGCTTGAAGTTCCTGCCCTACCACCCCATGCCAACCTAAACTCTCCTTTTTGTTTCTATTTTTATTTTGTTGTTGTACTTTAAGTGAAAGTTTACAATTCAAGTTAGTCTCTCATACAAAAATTTGTACATACATTGTGATGTGACCCTAATTGCTCTCCCTATACTGTGACAGTACACTCCTCCTTTCCAACCCTGATTTCCCGTGTCCATTCAGCCAGCTCCTAACCCTCTCTGCCTTCTCATCTCACCTCTGGACAGAAGCTGCCCATTTAGTCTCATGTATCTACTTGAGCTAAGAAGCACATTCTTCACGAGTATCATTGTATGTCCCACAGTCCAAGTCCCATCTTTGTCTGAAGAGTTGGCCTTGGGAATTGTTTTAGTTCTGGGTTGACAGAGAGTCCAGGGGCCATGCTTTCCAGGGTTCCTCCAGTCTCAGTCAGACCACTGAGTCTGGAAGAGAGCCCCTTGGTCTTCTTACCCAGCTAAGCACAGAGTGGAGGAGGGAACAAGATCAAGGCCTTCATGCCTTTTCGTGTGTGGAGGCTCCACCTACAGGTGGGACAAGCTGGGAGACATGGGGTAGAGGGGCCTGCACTGGAAGGAGGGAGGGAAGAAGCATCCCCTCCTTAAATGCTTACTTGGAATTCCTGGAACAATTTAGTAAATGATATCTCTTCCAATTAAAATGTGTATATTTCTTGAGAGCAAGTACCCATCTTAATCATCTCTATGTAGTCCTTTTTCAGTAAAGTTTATTGAATGTAAAAGATGCTCAGTAAATATGTTGAACTAAAATAGAATGCAATTAAGATTCATAATAACTTACTTTTGTATCCTGTATGTCTATTACAAAAAAAAGTTAAAATGTACCATGACGTGGAAGTTCTAAATGTTCTCTTCTTTTTTTTTTTAAAAAAAAAAAAAAATAGCAACTGCAGAATAGTTTGATGGAATTTGGAAAACCGTGGAAGATGAATCCAGGAGATGGAGCATTTTATGGCCCTAAAGTGAGTAGCTATATGCTTCAAACAGAGTGAAATTTTAAAGAAAAATAAAAACGGTCCCTAAGCAAACATTATTTAATTTACAGATTGATATAAAAATCAAGGATGCCATTGGCAGGTACCATCAATGTGCTACAATTCAGCTGGATTTCCAACTACCTATTAGATTTAATCTTACATATGTTAGGTGAGTAATTTAATAAGTAATGTAGTATTAATATCCTAATTATTTGTCATTTGAACATTAGCAATACAAATAAACACTTGATGAATGTTTATTATATTGTTGTTGTTAACTGCCATCAAGTTGGCCCCCTACTCATGAGACCCCATGTGTTACAGAGTAGAACTGCTCCATAGGGTTTTCTTGGTTGTAATCTTTATGGAAACAGTTCACCAGACCTTTCTTCTGTGGAGCCACTGGGTGGGTTTGAACCACTAACGTTTCGATTAGCAGCTGATTGCAAACCACTTGCACCATCCAGGCTCCTTATGTGCTATATACTCGATATACATTTGTTAACCTGTTGTAACCTAGTTGGGGATCAGTTTGAATTTTCTGAGGTCATGGTCTAATGGGAGAAGAAAGATCAGTAAGCATAAGAATAGAGATATGAACAAAGTACCATGAACAGTAGTAAGCCAATCTGCTGACTCTCCCTGATGTGGTGCGGGAGACTTCACAAAGATCTAACATTGAATCTGTGTCTTGAGGATGAGGTATTTGTTAGGGAAAAAGGCAATTTCACTGGCCAGGGAAAAAAGGCAATTTCGTCATTGTAAACCAACAACTTTTTTTTTTTTAATTTCTTTTTTTAAAAACTGTACTTTAGATGAAGGTTTACAGAACAAACTAGCTTCTCACTAAACAGTTAGTAGACATATTGTTTTATGACAGTGGTTAACAACCCCACGACATGTCAACACTCTCCCTTCTCGACCTTGGGTTCTCTTATTACCAGCTTTCCTGTCCCCTCCTGCCTTCCAGTCCTTGCCCCTGGGCTGGTGTGCCCCTTTAGTCTCATTCTGTTTTATGAGCCTGTCTAATCTTTGGCTAAAAGGTAAACTTCTGGGGTGACTTCATTACTGAGCTAAAAGGGTGTGCAGGGGCCATACTCTTGGAGTTTCTCCAGTCTCTGTCAGTACAGTAAGTCTGGTCTTTTTTTGTGAATTAGAATTTTGTTCTACATTTTCCTCCAGCTCTGTCTGGGACCCTCTATTGTGATCCCTGTCAGAGCAGTCAGTGGTGGTAGCCAGGCACCATCTAGTAGTACTGGACTTAGTCTGGTGGAGGCCATGGTAGATGTGGTCCATTAGTCCTTTGGACTAATCTTTCCTTTGTGTCTTGTTTTCTTCATTCTCCCTTTAAGTGGTGAGACCAGTGAAGTATCTTAGATGGCTGCTGACAGGCTTTTAAGACCCCAGGTGCTACTCACCAAAGTAGAACGTAGAACATTTTCTTTATAAACTATGTTATGCCAATTGAGCTACATGTTCCCCGAGACCATGGTCCCCACAGCCCTAGCCCAGTAATTTTTTTTTTTTAATTTCTTAACATAAAATTGTGTGTGTGTGTTTATGTATACAGTTCTATGAGTTTTAACACAGGTATGCAGAGATGTAACCACCACCTCAATTATGATTCCATCATTACAAAAATCTTCCTTGTGTGTCTCCTTTCTAGTTACACCCTCCTCCCACTCCTGTCCCCTGGCAACCACTAATATATTCTCTATCACTATAGTTTTGCCTTTTCCAGAATGTCACATGGGTAGAACCATACAGTATGCAATCTTTTCAGACTGGTTTCTTTCACTCAGCATAATGCCTTGGAGATTCATCCATGTTTTGGTGGGTTATAAATAGTTTGTTCTTTTTTATTGCTGACTGCTATGCCATTGTATATGGAGCCCTAGTGGTGCAATGGTTAAAGTGGTTGGCTGCTGAGGTCAGCGGTTTGAACCCACCAGCCCCTCCACAGGAGAAAAGACCTGGTGATCTGCTCCCATAAAGATTTCAAACCAAACTAAACCCGTTGCCGTTGAATCGATTCAGACTCATAGTGACCCTGTAGGGTAGAGTAGAACTACCCCATAGGGTTTCCGAGGAGCGGCTGGTGGATTCTAACTGCTGACCTTTTGGTTAGCAGCCAAGCTCTTAACCACTGCGCCACCAGGGCCCTCCATAAAGATTACAGCCTAGGAAACCCTATGGGGCAGTTCTGCTCTGTCAACACTGATGCTATGAGTCCGAGTCACCCCTACGACACACAAAACAACAACGTACCATTGTATGGATGTACCTTGATGTGTTTTTCCAATCACTCATTTAAGGACGTTTGGGTTGTTTCCACTTTTTGGTGATTATGAATAGAGCTGCTATAAACATGCATGTATAGGTTTTTGTGTGAATATGTTTTCGTTTCTCTGGGGTAAAGACCTGGGAGTGGGATTGTTGGGTCATATGGTAAATGTATGTCTAAATTCATAAGAAACTGCCAAACTTTTCCAGAATGGCTGTACTACTTTGCATTCTCACCAGCAGTGTATGACTTTCAGGTGTTCTACATCATTGTCAACACTTGCTATTTTCAGATTTTGTTTCTTTTTTCTTAAGCCATTCTAATAGTTGTATAGTAGTATCACATTGTTGTTTGATTTTGTATTTCTCTAATGGCTAATGATGTTAACATCGTGTGCTTATTTATCATTCATATATCCTCTTTTGTTAAGTGTCTTCTCAAGTTCTTGCCCATTTTTTAATTGGCTTGTTTGTTTGCTTATTGTTGAGTTTTGATGATTATTTATGTATTCTAGATAAAAACTTGTTGATTGATATGTGATTTGCAAATATTTTCTCCCAATATGTAGCTTGTTGTTTCATTTTAAACAGTGTTTTCACTTTCCCTTTCATCTTGAGTTTTTAATTTCAATGAAGTCTAAGTTATATGTATCTTTTCTTTGTATGGACCATGCTTTTGGTGTTATATCTTTAAAATCTCTGCTAAACTCAGGTATGAGGATTTTCTCCTATGTTTTATCTCAAAAGTTTTCTATCTCAAAAGTTTAAGTTTTACATGTGCATCTAAAATCCATTTTGAGTTGACTTTTGTGTAAGATGTGGAGTTTAGTTCAGGGTTCATTTTTTTTATCTAGCTGTTCAGTTTTTCCAACATCATTTGTTGAAACGTCCATCCTGTCTCCATTGACTTGTACTTTTGTAAAAAATCAATTGGACATATTTGTGTGAGTCTATTTTTGGATTTTCAGTTCTGTTCCATTGATCTATGTATTTATCCCTTTGTCAGTAGCACACTGTCTTGATTACTGTAGCTTTATATTAAGTCTTAAAATTGGGTAGTGTGAATCCTCCAACTTTTTTTTTTTCCAAGATGTTTTGGCTTTCAAAATGTTTGCCGTTGCTTTTAATATATCTACAGAAAAATGCTACTAGGATTTTTATTTAAATTGTTTTAAATCTACAGGTCAGTTTGAGTAGAATTGACATCCTAATTATATAGAGTCTTCTAATCCATGAGCACGGCATGTCTCTCCACTCATTTAGACCTGCTTTGATTTCTTTCATCAGTTTCTGTATTTTTCAGCATGCAAGTCCTGTACACATTTTGTTAGATTTACATTTAAGTATTTCATATTTTTGGAATAATTGTAAATGGTATTGTATTCTTAATTTTGGTATCCACATGTTCATTATTAGTATAAGGAAATAGAACTGATTTTTGTATATTCATCTTGTATCCTGAAACTTGCTGAGCTCACTTATGAGTTCTAGAAGATTTTTTTTTTTTTTAGATACCTTGGAATTTTCTATGTAGACAATCATGCCACCTCCATTAGGGACAGTTTAATCCTTCCTTTCTGATCAGTATACCTTTTATTTCCTTCTTTTGCATTATTGAACTGGCTAGAACTTCCAGTACTGTGTTGAATAAGAAGCATGAGAGCAGATACACTTGCCTTGTTCTCAATCTTAGGAGGAAAGCATTTAGTATTTGAGAAAGAGCCATTCCAAAACTGAGATTTCTTAACAGGACTGAAATTTCTGGCTAAGGTCTAGGCCAAATCTCTCCTTGTCCTAAGAGACTCCATTTAAAATTTCTAAATAAAGCTTCTGCCGTATAATGCAGCCTGACACTTCTGTAAAATTTTCCACTCTACCGCTGACCTAGATGCAAGCAGTTTCTACAGAAAATATGTGGTTTTGCCCACCCTATTCTACTTGTCCAAAAGTTCTAAGAAGATGAGCTTGTGGTTAGAAATGGCCAGTGTAAAGAGAAGATTATTGCAGGTGTTAAACATGTGACGTTAGTAGTCAGCTAATTCTCAGAAAATGCCCCCTTCACTCCCTCTAAAAACATGTTTTTCTAACCTGTGCCCGAGTCCTTACAAAACCGGATTCCTTTTCCATAACCTTGTTCTAACATCCTCTCTAAGCTCTGTAAATGTCAACCAATCACAAACGTTTTAGTTGTATCCTTCTGTTTCTAAGTCTTTGCAAGTGAACAGCTCCCCGAAGTACTTTCTTCTGATTATTCTGACACTGTTTTCCATTTTATAAAATGATTTTTCACCATAATAAAACTCTTTTTAAAAAACATAAGTAAATGTGTGGTTTGTTCCACTGCAACATGTTTCACCATCAAGTATGTTAGCTGTAGGTCATTTGTAGATGCTCTTTATCATGTTGAGGAAATTCCCCTCTATTCCTAGTTTTCTGAGAGTTTTTATCACGAGTTGGTATTGAATTTTCTCAAATGCTTTTTCTTCATTAATTGATATCAGTATATGATATTTCTTCTTTAGCCTGTTAGTATGGTGGATTGCACTGATTTTAAATATTGAGCCAGCCTTGCATTGCAATGATAAATCCCACTTGGTTGTGGTGTATCATTGTTTTTGTGGATTGCTGGATTTGATCTCATCTTAATCTTTTGTTGAGAACTTTTGCATTTATGTTCATGTAGGATACTGGTTTGTAGTTTTCCTTTTTTGTACTTTCTTTGACTACTTTTAGTGTCTGGGTAATGCTGGCCTCATAAAATGAGTTGGGAAGTGGTCCATCCTGGTCTGTTTTCTAGAAGAAATTAGGTGGAATTGGTATTATTTCTTTTTCAAATGTTTGGTCAAGTTTGTCAGTGAAATCATGCAGACCTGGAGGTTTCCTTTT